AATTTATTTGATTTTAAAATATATTCTGAACTTTGGTAAATTTAATATTTTAATTGAGAATATCAAATTAAAACAAAAATTCAATCTGTTTATTATATAGAGTCGAACCAATTTCTTTTTCAATAAAGTTTTCAAACATTTTTGGAAAGAGGATATAGTCACTTTTTTTGAAAAACTAGTAACAAGCTTTCCTTAAATTTAAAAGATAAATATATTTTAACACTATTATAAAAAATATTCTTTGTTGGAGATAACCATCATTCAAAAGAAGACAGATATAAGCGAAAATATGTACAAGCGTGAGATAAACACGAATCGAGGGTTTCAAAGTCGTAGTACAAGGGTATATACAAGAGTATTTAGACGTTAGAGATACGCATGGCAACACAAGTCAACGATGAGGCGACAGGGATAGCCAATACGTGATTGAGAATTAATGACGCGGTGGTAACAGGTCTCGCGAAAGAAGAAATCGCGAGTAGATCACGAAGAGTTTTGGATGAATTTTTTAGCTTCTGAAAATCATTCGATTACAACGTGTATACGAATTATTGGTGAAGAAAACGTATCACGCATATTACTTTTGTCTTTCTATTTTCGCCTCTTTATTTTCCCCACTTTTAGAACAACTTGAACGACAAAAGTAAACTGAATAATCGCTTTTCTTAGCAGTGGAATGATATTTTTTTACGTGCGTGCGCACATTAATTTTAACAATTACTCTTTCACATTTAGTCACATCTTAAACGTGTTATTTAAGCAGATATTGAAAAAGATTTTGCTATATTTTTTTTTTAAGAAAACATTTTTAATATATTTCTAAGATATATATAAAGTTTTTGTTTAATGAAAAATATATCGTAGTCTCCTTCAAAAATTTTATACCCTCACAAAGTGTACTCGAAATGATGAGAAATAATGGTGTGATTTGATCAAAATTAACGATTATGTAAAATTTTTGTAAAATATTTATGTAAAATGTTTAAATTTAAAGACATGTAAAAGTATCACTTAGATGCAAGTTATTTTCGTAAGTAGGCGAGGGAGATGCAAGAATTGCCGATCTTCCCAAATACGGAGACAGTAGAATTGTGAGAAGTTCAAAGGTTTTGGACACTCCGCGAAAGAGAAGGGGAAATCTATAATTAATTTCCCGTCTCTCGCGCGCGCGCGAGCGGTAATAGCTCCGGCAATCGATAGAATCTTCTCAGCTGTGTCGTTGTGTATTTATGACGCATCGTCTCGATCGACGATCGCATTAAAATAACTGCTCGTTCGTAGACTGTATAAAAATTCACCGCCGATCAAGAATAAAACCGATCTCATGCGGAAATAGCATGCGCAATGCATACGCGGACGCGCTAAACACCTTGTTAACTGTCAATTCAATTTCTCTTACGTACCTACTTCCGCCACTTAACCGTCAGTACGTGACAATTATTATGTATCAAACACGTTCAATATAATTTTATCTTATTGATTTATGAAATTATGAAGTTATACGAGTGATATTTAATTCACTCAAACCATATAAATAAATTTGCTAATCTTCTAAGATTTTATTTGATCTTAAGGACTGAAAATTTCATTGCGATTAAATATATCCAATTTAATTAATTACAATATTAGCATTCTTTAGAAACCGTTCTTTAGAAACCGTAAAAATTTACATTTTTCAAGATTTGATGTTTAATCTATCGTATATAACTTAAGTTTTTCTTGGAGAAATCATAATTTTATTTCCAATTTAAAATCTCTGAATATCTCTGGGATGCTTACACTTTCAATAAATCTGAAATTTTGGAATTTTAGTTTGTTGTTTAAAAGAGAGCTGCTGGGACTGATATTTTTGGACCATCTAATGACCGAATTTTCCTCGGATCTTCCATCGAGTTTAAATCTAGATTCCTTAAATGTGAATTGGTTAGATTTCGGTTACATGGTTAGATTGGTTAGAAATCGTTGAAATGCAAATCGAATCAAGACCTATCTTAGAATTGCTTTCAATGCAGTCTCCCGATCCATCTGACTCGCTTTCATTCCCCCGATTCTCTCCGGCGGGATCAAGATCGATGGTAATCCACGCATTCGCGAGGAGGACGCGATGGCCGCACGTAGGTGGATCGCGACGAATTCATGGAACGTCGCGATCGCGCCTCACCGCGGCGCGCCGTGACGATCGACGCACCGGTTCGGCGCGGTGCGTCATAAATGACCGATGACAGATTCCCCGAAGCCATTTCGTCTCGCATACGAAATCATCGCCGGTCGGCGGTACATCAATAAAAAGTGTGTCCGGCCACGAATAAATGCGCGCGCCTGTGTACACCGTCGGAATCGTCCCCTCGGAAATACGTGATCGCCGATCGGCGATCACGTATTCTTCGACTTTCGGCAATCGAATGGAGGCGCGTTCGGGACCAGAATTGCCGTCTCCGAAAAAGTATCTCGACAGGCCCGGAAAAACTCGAAAAAAGGCTGAAGTTTCCAGGGAAATCTTGAGAATATGTGAGAACAATCAGCGTATCACGTTGACAAACGCGCCAATTCATAATACATCTTAAAAGATTGTGTAAATCCTTTAAAATTAATTCAAATTTTCATTTAACGTTATTTAATTTAAAACGACATTATCCAATTATTTCATTTCCTTACTTATTGAAGACCTCTCAGGAAATCTTAATAATGAATAAGAAGTTATTCATGTCAAACAGATTCTTTCGTTAACATAAATTTGAGTAGAGACCATCATACTTTGCACATGGTACATTAGCCTTCTTTGCTATCTGTTCACAGATATTTGAGCGGAACTTTCAGTGCTGAATGGAAAACCAGACCCTACAGATCTCTCAACCACAGTATTTGTTTTGCAGATCACACAGAGGAACAGTAGTTTTTAGTGAAACAACTATGAGAACGTATTAATTGAATATTACACATAGAAAACTACTATGGTTGCTATATCCACATATTCTATAGTGAGAAAGAAAACTTATATGATTTCAATAGATATGGTGTTGCTGTTATTACATATCCATCTTACAGTTTTCACAGCCATAGTTTTTATGATATATAATGTTCAGTTAGTACATCCTTGTATACATAGTTGCCTCAATCAAAGGAATATTGTTGTCTCTCTGTTGTGGTCTGCAGAACTAATATTATGGTTAAGAAATCTGTAGAGTTTGGTTGCACCATATAACACTGCTCAAATACATATACACGGAAAAAACACTAAGTATATCATTTATCTATATATAGTTGTCATAACAAAATATTAGTGTTATTTTTTGCTTATGTATATAAGATGGTGTAGTAACTATATTACTCTGCAAGTGATACACTAGCCTTTTTTACTGCTTATCGATATGAGTTTGAGCAATACTCTCAGTGCAACTCTATGGATCCCTCAAGTATAGTATTTGTTCTGCAGATCACAACAGAGAGATATCAGTATTCCTTTGGCTGTAGCAACTATGTATATGAAGATGTACTATCATATAAACTATGGCTGTGAGAAATGTACAGATGAACATGTAATAACAGCAATTTTTAATACTATATTTCTTTAACTTGAAATTACATAAATTTTCTTTCTAACAATAGAATATGTGAATGTAGCAGCCATAGTAGTTTTCTCCGTGTAGATAAGCAGAAGAAGAAGATTAGTGTACTATTTCCAAAGTACTATAGTTACTACAATCATCTTGTATGTGTGGACGAAAACTAATATTAATATTTTGTTATGATAACCATATTTAATTTTTAGGCAAGTGATATCCTTAGTGTTTTCTTTCGTTTGGAGCAACTATATATGAGGATGTATTATTTGAATATTACATATCATAAGAACTATGACTATGAGAATCATATAAATAGGTATGTAACAACAACGACAATGTTTAACACGCTATTTGTTTAACTCGAGTTCACGTAAATTGTTTTTTCTATCCATAGAGAATGTGATTGTAGTAACAGTTTTCTTCGTGCGGCTAAAGACAACAATTCCTTAAAGGCATGTTGGAAACTCGAGCAAAATATATCGCGAGTACCGTAACACCGAGAACATTCACATACCAGCCGATATACATACACACATACACACGGGCATACATAAAGATCGAGCTACGGGAGCACGATCATTTATGCGCACTACCGTATATCTCGATCCTTTGCGGTCGATCGTGGCGACTGTGATCGTGACCAAAGACACGCTGTCGGAATTCATAAATGCTCCACAGTCGGACCCGCCGATTTCTTTCGTTTCGTGAACGCGATTGGAGCCAACCGCTACCAACCAAAGATTTGCGTAACAGTGGGCGTACGCATTTTATCGACCACAAACCGCTTGTTATCGATGTTCACAATGATCAGTATCAACTCAACATCAACCCGATTAAACATTTATCCGACGGACTTGATCAGGTTGATCCCAATCAGTTATTCAGTTTGTACAAAACGATGTTATCGGGTCCTAATTACTAACAATCCTTATTATTAATAAAGTCCTGATTTGCGTTGCGTTACACGACTCATTAAGACCCGACATCATTTTATATAAACCAGATCACTGATTGAAATCAACCTGATCAGGAACCATAGGATAACTTTCTAAAAACCGAAAATTCTCTTACAGAAATTCCTCGTTGATTCTTAACTTAACCCTTAGCGCGCAATGTTGAATCTACGAGACCCAACTTTCGTAAAAAGTCCGAGAAAATTTCAAAATATAGTAAATCTGCTTGCAGATTTTGATTTCATCGCGCTACTATCGTACAGCTGAGGCTTTTCTGTATATCTGGAAAACAAATCTGTCTAAAAATGTTCATTTTCAAAGTTGTGGTGTTCAAAGTTGTCCACACACAAATCAGACAGACCCAGGTTATACTGTCCTAAAAGACGCTCTAGAAGATATGATTGTACGTGAAGGGTTAAAATCCACAGTCACGTATTCTCGCAACTCTTCTCGTTCGGAACAATGTCAGGAAAAGTGCACTCACCGTGCCGCGACTTGGAGAGGTCGTGAACCGGAGAGGCCGGCGAGCCGACGCTGCCGTCCTCGTCCTCGCTGTCGGTGAAGCTGCTCGGCGCTCGTTGATTCGCAGCACGACGGCAGCCATCGAGCGGGTAGTATCCCTGTGGATGACTAGGTGCCGGTGCCGAGTGCTGGGTCAATCGGCTCTGATGCAGTTCAGGATGCGCCGAGTAGCCAGCGGACGGATGCTGCGGCGGCAACATCGGGACACCGGATGCACCACCGCCGCCGTACATCCGCATCGGTAGCCAGGCGCTATATAGCCCGAGCGGCACACCGAAACCTGCGCAAATGGTACACTATTTATTTGAGAAATGAATAAACGGATCGTAACGGAACGGTGAATTGAGTGAAGTACGCCGTTCACGGATTTAGGTATGGTCGTGTCTAAAACGAGATGGTCAATTTGGCTTTTCATTAAACTGTTCCGTTCTTGGACAACCGTCCCTCGGCATTTGAAGTGTCAAGCTCGCTGCTGAGTTGAATGCAATTAGTTATTTTGCTTAAGGCAATTACATTAATCATTATTAATCAAACTTGCACTCGTGCAGTGTTTCATGGAAAATGACTCAGTGCGCATTTAGAGAAAAAGACACGATGATGGTAACTGTATAAATGACAGTTATACAATTTTTGTGTGTAGAATTAATATATACATATATAGTTTATTGAAAAAAATATATATACATATATACACATTATAATTCTACATACACCAAATTTGTATAGTTACCAACATATAGTTTATATAGTCACCAACACCGTGTCTTGTTTTCTGAGCATGCATTGAGTCAATCTCCATCAAACCAGTCAATCTCTATCAAATCCTCTGAAAATTGAAGCGTTTTCTGTCACATTTTTCTTTTTCTCAGGTACCTTAGTGACTATTTCGAATCAGGGAGAGAACAAAATCTGGTTAACCTAATACATACTTAAAACTCTGTGGCAAAGAGATTTTAAATATTCTACTAGCAGCTTCGTTTACGATCTTTCTAATGCCCATTATTAACATCGAATAAGCGAGAACGAAGGAAAGAATTGGATTTTACGATTCATTTCCGCTCACTCGAGCTGTCTCTATACACGATGTGTCCCATTCACTTATTTTTAAGCTACATTATTGAGCGCAAATGATTTCTTCATATTAAGCTGCTTTACGTTCAGTTAAGTGACAATTATCTTCAATAAACAATTTTTTATGATAGTCTTAAAATATATTCACCATTATTCAATATAAATTTTAGAAAAGCTCATTATCATATTTTCAAAAGAAGAGAATTTATTTCCTTTACAAGAATATTTAAAAACTCTATCAAAGAAGAAATTGTTTCGACTTCATGTAATAAATAAATTAAATTTTTGTTTTAACTTAACATTCTTGATTGAAATGCTAAACTTACCAAGATTCAGAATGTACTTTGAATAAATATGACGAGCTTATGTGATGAATTTATAATAGATTTGGGGATATATATATTTTTGAAATACTTGAGACAAGTAATATTTACTTGAATGCATTATATATTGTTGCTGTGTGCATGTATGATCCTGCTTTTCTAAAATATAATCAGTATATTCTTCGTTGAAATACTATACTTATAACTGGTGGTTTAATTAGAAGTATAGCACTGTAATCAGTAAAATCTCACTAAAGGGCTCAGTTATTAGTAGCGACTATTCCTATTATTCATGTACTTTGCGAACACAGACAATGTCATTGCACGCAAGGCGCAATGGAAGTCGTTAATTCCACATTCATAAACGCAAAAAGCCGGATTTGATATAGCGTATAACAAATTTAGAAATTACATTACAGATTTTGCAGTGAAATATTGTTTCTTCTGGTGAAAAAAAAACAATCAAGTGAAAAATGAGACGTAGCAATAAAATGGGAGTATTTTCACGGGGAACCAGTGAGTATTCACTGATCATCAGTGAAATACTCCTTTTATTGATTGAATCAGAAACATTATTACTGATTTATTTTAAGAGAGCACGCGCTTACTTTTTCCTTTTCGTTAAATACGTGACGTGTATCAATCTTCCTCTTTGTGCCTACGAAGTTTCAGCGTATATACCAATTCCATATCGCATAACAGTCACAAAGCGGATCCAATTGACGCACTTATGTAATCTGCACTAACATTTAACAACGTGGCTGCGATCTACTGCGTCCACGTTAGACAAAGTTGAGTATAGAAAGCGCAAGAAACGATAGATACCGAAAGCTTCAATTACGTACATACCCGTGATCGCAGATTATAGCCCGCGTAACGTCACTAGCATCTGGTATTTTTTCACGTTTTCAGGTATATCGCATTACATTGCCTCTGGCTCAGCGGACGGAACGACTTCTTATACTGATGTCACGTCATGTTCATATCCTCGACCGTATTCCGCGCATTAACGATAATAATTAATTTAACGGAGAGAAGCACGTTAGATGCTTACAGTGAACCTCGAATATTGGAAACGTCGCCAACGTAATAGAATGTAACGCGCTCTTCACCGCCGTTATCGATTCGCTCATTTTTACGTATTTGCTATAGTCATATTTTAAACCGCGTTTGCGACGTTAACTTTCTGCGCAATATTCGCCTCTATATTGTCCAAATAAATATATCATTTGTAGATATATTGTCTGAACAAATGCGAATATCTGCAAACGTAATTTTGGTCCTGCGAGTGTTCTCTCAAATAAAACTCTGCTCCAATTGTGACGAATGTTATGCATTATCTAAAAAAGAACGTAATTGCCTAAGTATTAAAAGAAATGGGGTCACAAAATCCAGAATAAAAAATGCTATTACGTCGATGACGTTTCCAATATTCGAGATTCACTGTAAGCATCTAATGTGCTTTTCTCCGTAAATTAATTATCGTTAATGCGCGGAATATCGGTCGAGGATACGAGTATGACGTGATATCAGTATAAGAAGTCGTTCCGTACGCTGAGACAAAGGCACCGTAGTGTCCAAGCGATACTTTAAAACATGAAAAAATACCAGGTGCAAGTGACGTTGCGCGGGCTATAATCTGCGATCACGGGTATGTACGTAATTGAAGCTTTCGGTATCTATCGTTTCTTGCGCTTCCTATATTCAACAGGATTGCAAGTTCTATAATGCACACGAAAAATAAATTAATTCATGTAAGGATTAATTTATTTTTCAACTGCGTTTATATCAAACCTGTTTACGTCAATTATTTTCAAACATTAACACGTTGTATGTTACTGGTAAGCAATATCATGATGTTACCTTGTCTCATTAAAGGGTAATTTGTAATCTCTACTACGGAGTCACAATTTGTTTTTGGATTATGCTATTTTGTCCAATTTTGGTTTCCAAAGAGAGTTATTAGACAATAGACACATTTATGTAAAACAAGAATTTTGTTTGCTTTTTTTGGTCCAGATCACTACAAGCGGCAATACCATACATGCCAGCAAGGCACGAGAATATTACGCCACGTTCTATAACTCAATTAATATACGAGTTTCAATTATGAAAAGATTCATGTAATTTCCTTGATGCTTAATAAAAATATACTGAAAAATAAAAAAATATGTGTCTTACAATCTTTTTGTGAAAAAATTCTTTAGAAATTCCTTTATTTCAAACTACTCAGAGCTTACCAACTATTCAGAGTTCTTAAGTTACACATAAAATATAATTATTTGAAAAAGAACATATATTTATGGTATATAAAAAGTTAAAACGAGATTAAAAATATGTGTGTGCTTGGAATTACATTTATTATTACTGTGTCTTTAGTAATTCAGTTATCGATTAGGCTTTTGTACAATCGACGCGACAGTTACCACGTTAATTATTCTCTGAAATAATGCAATGTATTATTCATTGAAATACTATATACATAATTGGTAGTTCAGTTAAAAGTATAGCACTGCAATCTGTATAGCACTGTAAAATTTCACTGAATGGATTAGCTAATAATAGCGGCTGTTCTCACTATTGATGTAATTTGCGACAAAAAAAATTATACCATCGCAACAAATCGTGGTTTGCTGAAAATATATTTATAAATGTAACTAAAAATTTGTTGCTATTATTAAAACTTTAGCTATTGTTGCTACTATATTGGTTTCATAGCTATATATATGTCTACTAGCAGTTATACTTTTAGGTGTCCATATGTTACAACGAGATTTAGCTACCACGTGTATTCTTGCTGCCGCAGTTAACTTTTTTCCGTGTACAGACAGTACAAAATCTGTAATATATAAATTCTTTACACGCTATATCAAGTCCAACTTTTTATCTTTATGGCAATAAAAATAACAGGTTTCCATGAGTTTTGCGTGCAATGATATTGTCTGTATTCGTACAATGGATTCGTATAATGAAAATAATCCTATTAACCACATTAACTGATATTTTTAGTATGATTAAAATGCTATATTTATAACTACTATACTAATAAAAATAGTATTTCAGTGAAGAATAGACTGTCATTGTATTTTAGAGAATAAAGAAAAGGATGCGATATAACGCCCTCTTATTATATATCTCTTCATTTTTATTCACTATTATTATTATTATATTTGTTCAAAATGTTTAATGACTACCGATTACAATTAACTTCTATATACTGCCTCAAAGTTTTTGCAAGTCTTTGTTGCTATAATAAAAAATTTGTTTTGGTAAACAAAAACTTTTGCTACTGTTGCTAATATATCAGTTTCATAGCTAAATATATGCCTGGTAGCTATACTTTCAGATATTCATATATTACAACAAATTTAGCTACAACTCATAGATTCTTGCTGCTAGAATTAACTTTTTTTTCGTGCATCTGAGTAATCATCTCGCTTTTCTTTTTCTTACTACGTATGTTTCATTTAAATTGTTACTAGTTACTATTTTCTAGTGTGCTCTATATAACTTTATATACTCTTCCACCTCTAGATAGCTTGATTATTTTATATTATTTTTATTCTACTTTGGTAACCAAATATGTAATATATATCTACTAAAAACTTTGTTCTACTAAACTTTGTATCTAATAAAAACTTTGAAAAAGTTATCTAAAGTTATCTTATCTAAAGTTATCAACGCCAGAGTTAAATATACTCTACAACACTCTACTCAATTGCGCCTTGGCACTTTGAACAATTAAAAAAGGAAAATTTCCAACGAATTTCGAAGAAAAATTCTAGAGTACTGTTGCTGGTCTCGCCGATTCAATCGTTCTAAGGGATAAATGAGCAGAAGAAGAAGGGCACTCACCCGAGGGCAGCGTGCTCGCCGCGGCCGTTGCCAGGTAGTGCCTTTGATAGAGCTGGTACTCCCGGTCCCGGTGATCCTCCTCTTCGCTGCCGTTGGTTCGGTCATCCCTCACGATACCGCCGCCGCCACCACCGCCGCTGTCGTGGACCTCGCGTGCGCCCCCGATCAAACTCTCGATCGTGAAAGGTCGCGGCGTCGGACGTCGCGCGTGCCTCGGCTCAGCCACCGACGACTCCAACTCGTCGCTCGCCGAGCCGACGTCCAACTCGGTCTCCTCTACACTCGTGTCCATGGCAAGGTCTTTCGAGCCGACTGACCGGTGTCGAAAATCGAACGGGACCGATCGCAATTCGACACTACTACGTGTGAGGCATAATCTACTTTGTGGCGCGAAAGTTCAAGTCCCACGCGTGGCTCAAAGCGTCGCAAGACGAAGTAGTAACTTGCTCTCTCTTTCTCTCTCTGCTTTTTGAAATTTTGCTCTTGTGATCACTTTGAAGAATGGTTTAGATTATTTTGGATCGACTGCTAATTGCGATTCGGGGTCAAAGGAGCCAAATGAGATTCGCAGTCGTGCCTCAAATGGGCAATCGTCGATGTCGAATCAAGCTGTCGCGTGAGTTTGGTATTGTCAGTTCAGTGTGTCATGTGAGCGAATTTATTATTGACCGTTACTGACTATTTTGATAATTTTACATTTTGTCTTATTCTGCGTGATGTTTTAGGTTTGTAACAGATGTAAGTTTTTCTTTTAATGTTGAGCTTTATATAATACATAATTTTTGTTTGTTCATCAACGGTCGTTCGTTAATGTCGTTGGATTATAATCTATGAGATTTGCGTAATATGTGCATTAGTTGGTCCATGTTATTACAAGTTATCGTCTTTTTATTCTTTCAACACGATAACGCGACAAAGGTAGTTTCTTCGATGTTCCATCAACAACAAATTCCGCGTTCACAGTCACCCTATCATGCAACTGTCGAAGTATACTTGCATTTAACGTGTACATCAATGTACTTTGGCACTAATGAAATTTGTCATAGCGATCATAGGTGTAGAAACATACACTTTATTGCGATTGATCCTTTCTTCAGTTTTTTCGATCCGCGCGCAGATACACTACTGGTCATTACAGCACGAACTCACAAAAATTAGATATATCTTCGAATGGTACTTCCCTATCTGCATCACAATCCTCTGTCGACTTTGCTGCATCCTTTGCGCTTTGACTATAGAGATATCAGTTTTTGCTTGTGGTACAATTAACGCGCACTAAACAGGTCTGACTGACAGGCAAATCAAACCCATTCGTAGTAATTTCAACGACCGTCGTGATTCACGCGGAACCTGTGCGAAACGTTAGGTCAACACTACGTCACGTAGGAATTGATAAAATGGGTTTTTGATCCCATGAAGAACTCAGCCAGTCGTCGTCATTAACATAAGTCCATGAACAGAACACGAGGAAGTAATGATTCCACTCGAACAGTAATGATTCCTCCTTTCAATAGAAACTTGTGAGATTCTTCACACGGCACTTCACACGGGCCGTCTTTCCTCCCTCGTCCAACTTGATGATTGATCACGACGTCCGCAATGAGGACAGTTCTCCGAGCAGTAAGTTGATGAGGACGATGATGGAAACTGGTGAAACTATACACTGCGCATCACTACACCGTGTGACGACCGTATGGCGCACGGGTCGACGGGCGACTGCCGAGGGTATAGAGCAGGGTATTTTAATTCGTGATTCCTCAGCATGCGCCGTTCCGGCGTGGTGGATGGCGTAGGTACCGACCTTCGTCCGACCCTGATTGGTCGCAACACGAACCAACGGCATCGTCTGGCCGCGCCTATCGTCGACTGACCCACCATCTTGGTGCTAGCTTTTGATCCGAGGTGCTTGTGCTCGCGTTGTTCGGGTGCTATGAGATTGGAAGCGGTGGACAGTTGAGGACAGTCGCGGTATAAAGTCAATTTTTAAACGTCACGACAACGTGACAGTGTAATTAATATTTTTTTTAAATCGGACAAAACTCGTGAGAAACGTCGGAGACGAAGAATTCTCGGTGCCACCCTTAGCGAGTAACATTTCCGAAAGTCACCCCCGAGGTAATAAAAACCCCAACCGTGTAGATATGAATCCATATTTGGAATTGTTGCACGGAAAAAACGGCTGAGGTTGAGACAACTAAAATTACAATGTTACCGTACGAAGTGTTGGGGCATCTATATTGTTTTGTGTCTTAACATTCGCTATATTTACTGTACCAAACGCATATAGTTGTCCCGACTATATATATAGTTGTTCCTCCGTAGCTGAGCCCGTGTGGTTGTGACAACCATATCATAGTTCGTACTACAGCGTGAATTGTTGTCGCACCACCGCACCAGCGTTGGCATTTGCACGGCGCCAGATTTCAACTACGGTAGCACGACCATATCAATATGAGTGTTACAACTATAGACATAGTTGCCCCAAATATTACTATTTATTGTAGGTGTGGCAACCATAATTATGCATTTGGTAACCATGTCGTTTTTTTCATGTGCAGATATATTTGCGTAGGTAACAAAAAAGTATAATTTCCCATAATAATATGGCTAAACAATAATGGAATATGATAAAGTATAGATATTTTCCAAGACTTGATAAACAGATTTTGATTTGCTGCCAATGTTTCATAAAGAACTATTATTCGTAATAATTATAAAATATATTTAGGGAAAGATTACAACGCGAGCGTGTGTTGACACATTTTTCAAAATTTCGATGTTAGAATTTTTCAGACAACCCATTGTTGTGATTGACTGAACACAGATGATAGAAACAACTTTCCTATATTTTTATATTAGAAATAATTCTGTAAAAACCATATATTTTTTCTGTAATAATTGGTGGATTTTTTTGTGATAATTGGAATACGAATACACTGCATCTTGGTTAATCTGGCTTTGTCATTCCTAAATATGTCTGTTATGCTCGATACCAAGATAAGTTACGATTCAGTGTAAATTGTACATTATATATAAAGTACATATTATCGTGCATTTCTTGAAAATATATTTCTTTTTCTCGATTCTTTAATCACTCTATTCTCTATCCAACAAACCTTCTATATACAAACTCTTTCTTACAATATTAATTACTTAACAATGTTAGCATTTGCAACCAATCTCAGTAATAAATTTTGCATTTTCATTGTGACGACTTATTTTTACGAGTTTTCAAACTCGAGAAAATTTTAACAGCTAATTGCAATCTCCAGGACGTGAAACGATCAATGTTAACGAGCTAGCTTATTTTCGTATTTTTGTATTTTCAACGCGTTATTCATTAAATTATGTTTCGTGTCATCTTCGTAGATTCATAATGAGAGCGCTTATCAAGTCTGACATTTTGGATGATACGTCCTCAAAGATATTGACAGGACCTGTCTCCTATTCTTAATTATATACATACATTATCCCGTATCGTTGTTACCTCGTATTAACACAGTTACGTACTCGTGCTACGTGCTTACATTACATATCTTGAATTGTGTAATTCATTGATTTTTTGGCTGCACTTCGACGTCATTCACATATACTATTCACACACACACACATATATATATATATATATATATTAAATTTTAATTAAAAGTTATTAAAAGAAAATAAGTCCTCTTTTAAGATAAAAATACAATTGCACGGCTGAAGACTGAAATTATATATCCAATAGCATGATGACTTTATCATATAAAACAATTCTCATTAATACCATAGTACTCTCCTCGTGTATTAAAGATATATTAAACAATCACCTATATAATGATGAATGCTTAATATGTGTGGTTGTGTTGCTTGAACATTACAGAAATATATCACTATTAATTTTCGAGAGAGAGGATTTAGTTAGTAGAATATAAATTGTTTCGCGGCAACGTCGTTAGGAACATTACACGTTACTTCACGCGTGTCTCGTGCACGTTGAATTTTAGGACGGGTTACGCCCATGGATCGTTTACGTCGTAGGTGGCTTCGAGCCGGCTAATCGGTGCATCACTATAATGATACTATTTCGATACTCGTTAGCATACCGTCACCTTAATTGGATCCTAAAATTATCTTGTATATATTGCTGTCTCCTTGTGAGCGCTTCTCTAATGCTCTAATGCGATCTATATTTATATCTTTGATTATGTATCTGCATAAATTTAATATTTTACTACTATCTTGGTATATCTATAGATAATTTATCTTATATAATAATAATTAATAATAATGATAAAAGAATAATAATGAATGTTACTTATTATTACCGTTATTATATATGCTGACACACTTTATAATTATAGAATTACGTCTAACTATTTATTTCAATCCCAAAGATGAATTACAGTCGTGTCCAAGTGACACACTTTTCCTGAAAGTCTAAAATATTTTATAATTATTAATACTCTTTCGCGAATTGGATCACAGAGGATATACAATGCTTTTACGAGCTGTCGTCAGAGAAGTTTATGACAAACACTCGCGCTCATTTATACGACAGAGAGACGGAAATGAGTATCGGCGGAGCTGAAGAGTCGAGTACAAGACACGACAAAGTGGCACTTAACGCCTTGTAAAATTAGAGAAGGGACACAGAGATAGCGAGAGCGGAAGAGAGTCAGAGAGGTAGGCATTGCGCCGGTGATGAAAAGTATTTAAACGCGATTCGCACCCTCTTCGTCGGTCGACCTTTTTTGCAAACAAGAAACAAAATCCTCAAAATAGAATACTTGTCGGACAATTTCCTCAAGTTTTTATATCGTCGCGGACAATATTTTTCAACTTATCAATATTTCATTCGGCAAATTTCCTAGGTACAAGATTAAATACATAAAGTTATATGAAGAATAACTTATTGAAGATATGATTATTCGCAAAGTGAAACGAAGTAAGATGAGTTGGTTCCATCGGCATACTTTATCCGGTACATCATCCCCGAAGTGGGATCAACGACTATAAATTCTAGTGGTGTATCAAGGAGTGGCAATCGGCCAGGCGAGTTCCACCCCGCAAGTAGTCACTGACAAATTGGGGCAGACCACGTCGCGTAGTGGAAAATGCCAGACACACGCCAAGTCGGCGTTGCAGGAAGCAAAGAATCGTTTAAATTATAGTTTAACCCTATCCTTTAATAACCATCTTCCTCCCTCTCTTTGATACTTGTCTTTGATACAATAAATATCATTTGTTTAGAAGAAGATATGTACACGCAGAAAACCTAATCTAATCTAATTTATGGATATCGCTTGCCTAAATATTATTGCTATAGCAAAACAGTAATGTTATTTTTCGCTCATGCATACAAGATAGTATCAAAATAATTGTACTCTTAGTATTCTGGAGGTGATATATTAACTTTCTTTACTTATTAACTTTCTTTACTGCCTATCTATATGTGTTTGTATAGTACTCTCAGTGCTGTAACCAAACTCTACGAATTTCTCAACCATAGTATTTGTTCTGCAGACCACAATAGAGAGATAACAATATTCCTTTGGTTGAGACAACTATATATATATATGTATGTATTAACTGAACATTATATATCATAAGAATTACGGCTGTGGTAACTGTAGATGAGTATATGAGTATATGATAACAGCAATTTTTAATATCATATCTGTTTCACTTGAAATCATATAAATTTTCTTCCTAATTATAGGATATGTTAATATAGTAACTATAGTAGTTTTCTCTGTAATCATGCAAAAATTCAAAATTAAGCTCGAGAAAGCGAAAAATGCAAGCATAAATTATGATTTCCTAAAAATATATTTCATGTTACCACTATTATTTGTGTATATCTAACTATGATCATTTTATAATATATTTTATAATATTTTATACATATATTTTATAATAATGGAAAAGTTAAATTTCAACTACATAGTGTACACTTATTCTCTTAAAATGAATCAGTAAAATGTTTCTGATAGAATTATTAAAATAACTGTTTCACCGATGATTAATAAGTATTCATTGATTTTCAATGAAAACATCTCCACTTTATTGCTCCATCGAATATCTCACTGATTTTAACCAGTGGAATTTGTATATTGCAGGATATGTAATGTACAAATTTATTATAAGCTGTACCAAATTCAACTTTTTGCGTTTGTGAAAATTGAATTAACGATTTTCACATGTTTTGTATGCAATGACGCTATCCGCATTTGTAAAATGCATTAATAATGGAAATAGTCACTACTATTAATCAATCCTTTTAGCGAGATTTTACTGATTGCAGTACCATACTTCTGAACTACTAGTTATAAGTATATAGTAACCACTATAAGTATAAGTATATTTATAAGTATAGCATAGTAAAGAACACTAATTCTACATTAGAGAATAAGTAAGTAAAAAAGATTGATGCATGACTGTTCGCGACAATTCACCAATATTTTAATTAATAGTTGAAAATTTACGTGGTCATTTAGAAATTGGTAGAGGATATTTTTGTTCAGTTTTACTTAATGTACACGGCAGACATCACCATTACAGCTCACCGTATCGCGCGTGATCATTCATTAATAACTTCATGTGACTGTTTGCGAAATAGTAGACGAATTTTGTGTTCAGTTTGATGAGTGCTACCTGCTCACAATATGAGTGTCAATAATTGTCGGAGACTTTGTATACGAGGGTGTACTAACATTACATATC